GTTGGCCAGGTAGCTGTCTTCCAAATTTCTTGGCAGAGATGAGTGAGCACCTCCAGCGCTGTATCCGTTTGTTGAAACATCTCAACTGATATTCCGTCAATTCCTGAAGCCTTGTTTTTGGCCAATGCCTTCAGTGCAGATTGAATTCTTCCTTTAGTACCATTGATTCTTGATCATATGCTACCTCCTGAAATGGCTGAATGTCAACCAATTCTTTCTGGTACAGTGACTCTGTATTCTTTCCATTTTCTTTTGATGCTTCCTGCATTGTTCAATATTTTCTTCATACAATCCTACAATATTGCAACTTGAGGCTTGAATTTTTTCTTCAGTTCCTTCAGCTTGAGAAATGCCGAGCATGTTCTTCCCTTTGGGTTTTCTAACTCCAGGTCTTTGCATATGTCATTCTCATAGTTTGTCTTCTTCAGTCACCTTTTGAAATCTTCTGTTCAGTTCTTTCACTTCATCATTTCTTCAGTTTGCTTTAGCTACTCTATGTTTCAGAGCAAGTTTCAGAGTTTCTTCTGACATCCATGTTGGTCTTTTCTTTCTTTCCCATCTTTTTAATGATCTTTTGCTTTCTTCATATATGATGTCCTTGATGTCATTCTACAATTTGTCTGGCCTTGGGTCATTAGTGTTCGATGCATCAAATCTATTCTTGCGATGGTCTCTAAACTCAGGTGGGATATACTAAGGTCATACTTTGGCTCTTGTGGACTTGCTCTAATTTTCTTCACTTATAACTTGAACCTATATATGAGCAATTCATGGTCTGTTCTGCAGCGACCCCTGGCCTTGTTCTGACTGATGATATTGAGCTTCTCCATCACCTCCTTCTACAAATGTAGTCGATTTGATTCCTGTGTTTTCCATCTGGTGAAGTTCACGTGTAGAGTTGCCATTTATTTTGTTGAAAAAAGGTATATGCAATGAATATTTCTATAACCAAGGCCATATTTTCCAACTACTGGTCCTTCTTTGTTTCCAACTTTCGCATTCCAATCACCAGTAATTATCATTGCATCTTGATTGCATGTTTCATCAATTTCAGACTGCAGAAGTTGGTAAAAATCTTCAATTTCTTTATCTTTGGCCTTAGTGGTTGGTGCATAAATTTGAATAAGAGTTGTATTAACTGGTCTTTCTTGTAGGTGTATGGATATTATCCTATCACTGACAGCATTGTACTTCAGGACAGATTTTGATAATGAATGCAATGCCAGTCCTCTTTAATTTAGCATTCCTGGTATAGCAGATCATACGACTGTCCAATTCAAAATGGCCAATAGTAGTCCATTTCAGCTCACTAATGCCTAGGATATCCATCTTTCTGCATTCCATTTCATTTTTGACAACTTCTAATTTTCCTATATTCATACTTCGTACATTCCACATTCTGATTATTAATGGATGTCTGCAGCTGTTTCTTCTCATTTTGAGTTGTGCCACATCAGGAAATGAAGGTCTCGAAAGCTTGATTTCATCCAGGTCATTAAGGTCGATTCTACTTTGAGGAGGCAGCTTTTCCCCAGTTCTATTTTGAGTGCCTTCCAACCTGGGGAGCCCATATTCTGGCACTGCATCAGACAGTGTTTGTCTTAGTCATTTAGCGCTGCTGTAACAGAAATACCACAGGTGGATGCTTCAACAAAGAGAAATTTATTGTATCACAGTCTAGTAGGCTACAAGTCCAAATTCAGGGCATCAGCTCCAGGGGAGGGCTTTCTGTCTCTGTCGGCTCTGGAGGAAGGTCCATGTCATCAGTCTTCCCTTGGTCTGGGAGCTTCTCTGCGCAGGAACCTCAGGTCCAAAGGACGCACTCTGCTCCTGGCACTGCTTTCTTGGTGGTATGAGATTCACCCGTGTCTCTGTTTGCTTCTCTATTTTCTATCTCTGAAGAGATTGGATTAAGACACTATCCGATCTTGTATACATCATCAGTATAACTGCCGCTAATCCATCTTATTAGATCATAGTGATTGAATTTACAACACACAAGGAAATCACATCAGATTACAAAATGGTACACAATTTTACAATACTGGGAATCGTGACCCAGCCAAGTTGACAGATATTTTGGGGGGGACACAATTCAATCCATGACAATGTTCCACTGCTATTCATAATGTTTTCACCGGCCAATTTTTTCAGGAGACCACTAGGTCCTTCTTCCTAGTCTGTCTTAGTCTGGAAGCTCAGATGAAACCTGTCTACCATGTGTGACCCTGCATGTATTTAAAAAACTGGTGGCATAGCTTCCAGCACCACAGCAACACAAACTGTATGACAAACTGACAGACACAGGGTGGGGAGCTAGAACTCAAAGAGGATAAACTGGTAACTGAAAAATAAAGACAGTGTCCTAATGTTCTAGAATATTCTCTTCATCTTCCGTGCCCAACACAAGACTGACAGAGCACTGCGTAACTGTGTCATCAGTTCCTGATTCAGGCTTGCTTCACCCTCCATCTCCTCTATCCTCCAGTCAGATGAAAATCCAGAAAAGAGGTGCTCTACGTTCCTTCTTTTCATGTGTAGTAGAGCCTTCCTCCGCTGCCCATGTCTAGACCACACGGAATAAAAATCTTCCGGCACCGCCAAAACCCTCCCCACGCTCTCACAGGGACTTCTGGTGGTGCAGGCACTTCCTGAGGGTGGGAGTCCTCAGCCCTGTCCTGTGTGGCCCGCCTCCTCCCTCGGGGCAGGCGTGGTGCTCCTATGGCAGAGGCATGGAGGCTGAGGTTATCCCACCTGGGGGTGGGAGCTTACCTGCTCCAGTTCCCTGCTGGAGGTTGCCCAGGATCTTCTCTCCCAAGAGGTGGATCAGCCGAGTCACCACCTGGGCAGAGAAAACAGATGCCTCAGCCCAAACACTGTAGACCAAGAAAGGCCTGGAGATGCCTGTGATGCTCCTGCAGTGACAGACTTGAAGAACTGTCACTTGATCCACCTCTCAAAAGGGGCCCTGGCCCATGGGTCGTGCTGGCCTGGAGTGGATGGGGGAAGGGGGCATTCTCCATGCTGCCCAGGTGACACCACAAAGGTGACTCCTGGCTGCCAGGGTCAGTAGGTGTGACCCTGGAAGAGAGGGCAGTCACCCCACCCCAACCCACTCCATCTGCCCCAGAGCTCTTCCGTCTTTGCCCCGGACCCCTTGAAAACCACAAGCTGCTCCCCCAGACCACGTCTGCCCGCCCTTGTCCTGGCACGTGCATGCTGCACACCTCAGAACTGACGGTGCCCAGCCAGCGTCCTGCCTGTGACCAGCTAGGGCTACACCCTCACCTGGGGGTACTTGCGCTTGATGGACATCAGGGCTCCCACGGGCAGCTTGGCCAGCTCTGAGTCCCGCACAGCATGTACCGTGGTGGCCCTGGCCTGTTGAGTCAGCGTCTCCACCTGGCAGAGAAGTCGGACAGCTTGGCTGCTCAGAACCTAGTCCAAGGGACAGCGGAGCCCTGGCCAGAGGTGGTGGCTGGCAGGAACGAGAGCCAAGGCAGGAACAGCACAGGGACAGGCTGCCCATCAGGGCCCTGGAACTTGCCGGAAGCCAGCAGGCTCTGCACTCCTCCCAGCAGGCCGTGCGCACGATGGGGCCCACCCTGTCCCAGGCACCTGGCCACTCAGAAGGGGGACAAGGAGGGTGCAAGGGATGGCCTCTGGTGTGGTGGGCTCTAGAATTTTACAGGGTGTTAGCTTTCTCAGTTCTTCCCAGGGAAGGACTACAATCCTCATGAGAGCATGCGGGCACTTCCTACTCCCTTTCTCACGAGCTGAGTGCAGGCGCCCAGGTCTCTGTAAGCAATGGCCTCCCTAATGAGCCTTCCAGGGGAGGCCTGGTCAGCACTGGGGTGGGCTGTGGGGAGCACAGGAGGAAGTGCCACACCACTTGGGGGAGGCGCCTCCTCCACTGGGAGCAGGGCAAAGGGGTTGCAAGATGCCTGGATGTCCACCCTCACTTGGTGACACAGACAGTGACTGCTCACATGCTAGGGGTGGTGTCCACCTTTGCTTGGGGACACAAGTACAGCAACAAGAGCCACCAGCCCTGGAACCTGCCCCCCTCCTGCTGCCTGGCCAGCCGCACCCCTGGAGATCTCTGGAGGTGACTCATCCACTCTTCTAGCCACCACTGCTTTGCCCAGTCTGGGAGCAAGCCAGCCATTCAAAAAATTAGGACCTCAGAGCCCTGAGCATGCCCCTAACTGGCTCTGGGGGTGCAGATATTGAGCCTCAGAGGTCAGAACAGAGCTGCAACCTAGAGGGGTCACCTTCCCCAAGGATGGCCCCTCCCCATACCCAAGTGACTCCAGCGTGGGCATTGAGGGGGCTCTGCCCAGGTCCCACAGGGGAGGGGCCCCAAGAGCCTTACCACACCAATGAGATCTCCACGGCCATACTCGCATGCCAGGCGTTTCTTCCCATCCTCCTTCTGGATAACTGAGCGCAACCTGCCGCTGAGGACGATGTAGGTGCAGTCCGACTTATCTGCTTGCCTGGGGGGCAGATGGGCCACTGAAGGGCAGAGGGAAGCACTGGGCCCCAGGACCCCAACCCTGAGCCTGAGTATCTCTGGCCCTCCTGACCCCATCACATCTGTATTTCAATTTAGCTCTTCCCTCAGCCCGGCCGTGGGTGGTCCCATGGAGGTGACACCCGCCCTCTGCCACACGCCCCACATGGGCTGTGAGACCAAGGAAGGAGCCAGCATGGAAACCAGACGCAGGGCCTGAGGTGCCAATGACAAGATCAACTGGGATGGTCCCATTAGCTCAAGATGTCTCATAGAAACTTTGCCATCTGAGGTCAAAAGGAGCCAAATACACCATTTACCACCCACTATACTTCCAAACACCTGTGAAGTTTGTGATGTTTCCCTTCTTTCTGCTGAGGCCACACTCAGAGGCGAGCTGGACTCTTCTCAATAGCGTATCTTCTGGAGTGCAGGTGCAGCCGCTGCTAAAAGTGCATGCTGGGCCCTATGCCCAGAGCTCCGTCCCCTGCTGGCCACCCCAGCTGGCCACCCTCACCCTCCGCTCCCTGTCTGACTCCCAGACTGGGCCCCAACTCCCAAACCCAAGGCTCTTTCTCTCCCTTTTTTCAAAGAATTGTGTTCTTGTTTAACGAATGTAATAGCTTTTATTGTATGTTTCCATTCAGTTCATTATTCAGGTTTCCATAAATACGATTCCTATCTCTTCACCTAGTTTATTTAGATGTTCCACTGTTTCCATTTGTGTGTGTGTCTTGTGATTTTTTGTTTAAGTCAGGACATTAGAATTTTATAGGGTGTTAGCTTTCTCAGTTCTCCCCGGTATTTGGTGTTTTTGACAGCACTACTTTCTTCAAGAAACTCAAAGGTGGGCAGAGCCTTCAGATCTTGATTAGCACTCCCTCTCTCTCTCTGTAACAGCTCCTTCTCCCTCTCCCTCTCTGTTTCAACTAGGATTTGAAGAGTCCAGACCGTGGTTTCTCTCTTTCAGTATCTCCCAAACAGAACACAGAACATACACTACTTAATTTGTCCACAAAGGAGTGCAGGAAAATAGAACAGAGAACATGCACTAATCAGTCTACCCACCACAGAGCCCAATCTTCTTTCTTTCACTCCCCGCTCTGCTCTGCATAAGCTGTTTTTCTCTGACCATGCTTTCAGTCAGACAGCCCACAACAAATGAACCACCAGCAGGGCTGAGTGTAGCCCTCCATTCACAGGTCCCTTCCTTGCTCTGTGAGGGCCCACTTATCTCTGAGCCAGAGATCCTGTGAGCTCAGGTGAGCCGTGAATGGGTTGCCTGGGTCTATGGCAGGCTTTCCACTGCCACTTCAGAAGGGGGAGAGGCAGGCATATCCCAAACTGATTTCCAGGGAGATCTGTCTTGTTGGTTTCAGAGCCTGAGCTGGGGGCCTTTCGCTGTGCACCGGCAGGCAGTGTGCCAACAGGGGCCAACAGTCCACAGCACCAAAAGGGTGAATGACAGAAACTGTGGGAGAAGTGGTGTTCCTACCGTATGACACTTGTCGTTGACTTGTGTCTACCTGCAGGTTTTAGCTGCTGTCCTCTGCCCACCAATTCAGAATCTCTCAGGGCCAAGCACAGATTTCTTGGTGTAGGTGTGAGGAGGGTCAAAACCTGCTCATGCCACCATCTTCCCAAAATTCTCTGTAATACCTTTTAAACCTTCCTCTGGATATTCTGCAAGGCTTTTAGAAAGGGAGCCAGTTCCCTGATTATCTCTTGGCAGAGAGGTGATTAGTTTGCTTATTTTGGCCTGGGTAAGAGCATGAGAGAGAGAAAACGGCCGGTTGACTCCCAGGTTTTCTACAGGTGAGGACATGGTGTCACATCCACAGAGACAGGGACATCATTGCTCATGTTCACTCAGCAGTGAATTTACCAGTACATGCCACATCCCTGAGGAAGTGTGAGGGTGCCGGGGGAGGAGGGGTGCTCTGGAGAAGAGCATCCCTGGAGCCACAACAGTAGGTGCAAAGGCCCCAGGAATGAGCTAGGGGGGACCTAACAACATACATGTGGATGTAACCCCATTTGGGAACAGGGTTTTCCTTGTTATGTTGATGAGGCCGTATCAGTGCAGAGTATGTTTTAAGAGAATCATTGCTGAGATGTAAAAAGAGCAGATTAGGAACAAAAGCAAGCAAGCACAGACGGGGGAAGACAAATGCCAGGCCACAGGAAGATCACTGAGGAACAGAAGCTGAACAGAGACAAGAACCTTCCCCCAGAGCTGACCTACAGAGAAAGCTTTCCCCTAGAGCTGCTGCCCTGAATTCAAACTTTCAGTCTCCTGTAAGAAAATAACTTTCTGTTTTCTAAAGCCACCCCCTGTGGTATTTCTCTTACAGCAGAACACTGAGAAACGAAGACAGCGTTCCAGAGTACAACTTCTGGCTCTGTGGGGTCTTAGGCCTTCCGCACTCACCTCCCAGTGTGGCTAGGGGATGAAGAGCACAGAGCAGCTGGCACAGAGCCTGGCCAGGTCAAGGTGATGGAAACAAAGCTCAAGTTCTTGACAGTTTCCGGGCAATGAGATCAGACAAGGATGAATCCAAACCCAGAAGACAGTCCCCAAGTGTCCCAGCCCAGGCTTGAGGCAGGCCTTACTTGCAGAACGCGTGCTCAGCCTGGGCCTCACCTGTACACTGCACACCTGTGGGCCTCACCTGTAGATTGCACGCCCGGCCTCCACCTCCATCCAGTCCAGTGCGAAATCGATCTGCCTCACGAAGGAGGACATGCGCTTTGCAACGGTGTGTGCCACGCCCAAGACGACGGTCGGCTGCTTCCGCATGATCCTGCCAAGGCAAACAGGGGCGTCGTTCCAAGTCCCACACGTGTCAGCCCGCCAATCCCACCTTCTTCACTTCGAGAGCGCTGAGCCCGAGATGGGCGAGACCGCAGCCCCTACAGCCACACGCTCTCGACAGTTCTGAGTCCAAGCGCCCTCATTTACAAAGCAGGCGCCGCAACGTCTACTTGTGAGGGACGTGGGAACTGGACAAGGGCCCAGGACAGAGCACACGCTGACCTTCACCTGCTCCCCGATGCCCCCTTGGTGGGGCAGCACTGCCTGCTGCGTGCGTGCCCTCCCCACTCAGCTGACCCCCCACAAACGCCCTCCAGCACGAGCCGCACGATGCCCCAGTCCCGGCCCTCCACTTAGGCGTGTTCTCCCAGGAGGTGAGCAATAAACGCGCGCACCACGTGCAGAGGCGGAAACTACAGCAAGGCGGGGGGCAGAGGGTGGACGGAGTGCTGGGAGGATCGGTCCTGAGACCACTGAGGGGTGCAGGCTTGGGCAGTGGGTGCAACTGAGGCGCCTGGGGATCATGCCTGGTGGACAGTGTGGGGAGGACCATCACAGACCTGTGTAAGGTGCTGGCAGGCGGGCCTGCCGGTTGCTGGGGGTGAACAGAAGGCCAGGCCGAGGGGCAGGGGTGGGAGGAGCAGTCAGCTGACACACTGCTGTTGGATGGGGCTTGGGGAGGGACAGAGGGGGAGGCGGCTCTGGGCCGGGCCAAGGCCACGGCTGGTGGCATCACCGCTGACTGAGAGGAGGACGACGCCTGGGGCCACAGGTCTGCCCTGGACGTCAGACACTCCCGAGAGGAGCCCAGACTCCGGAAAGAGGACACTGGGAGACGCAGGTTTGGTGCTTCGAGCTGTGGAACTGGACAGGATCACTGAGGATGCCACTCAGGAGGCCCCTGCACTGGGGGACTGTCATGCCTACCACCTGCCCAGAGGGACTGAGCTGTACCAGGGCTCAGGGAGGCGGACCAGGGCTCAGAGAGCAGGGCCAGGGCTCAGGGAGCAGGGCCAGGGCTCAGGGAGGCGGGCCAGGGCTCAGGGGGCCAAGGGCAGAGGGGTCCGGTCATCTCACACCTCTCCCTCTGCCCGTGACCTAGGAAGGAGAGAAGCATAGAAAGCACCCTGGGCCGGCCACTGCCGGAGCAGATGGACCCAGGGGACAGGTGTCAGTGGACTCCCCCCTGCTTTGCAAAGGTCCTGAGGGAATGGGGGACGAGGGATGGTCCTTAGTCTGTCAGTTCCCTAGGATCACCAAGGATGGACTGGCCCCCGTGCCAGGCGATCCTCCCGACCGCAGAGCCCCTGAGAACGGCAAGTGACAAAGTCTGAGCCTCCCGGCTGGGC